AGAGGCATTTCGGTCAGCCGGCCGGTTCATCCAGAGACTTCAGTCACTGTTGAAGTCACAATCGACCGACCGAAATGCCTGTTTCAGTCGACCGGTACAGAGGAGATTGCTTCTGCCGATCGAAGCCCCATTTCGGTCGACCGAAGTGCATCTGTTCTATTCTTCATATTCTTTTCTTCGACGTAATCTATCCTAAGCCTTGGTGATTTGAATTAAGCCGTTGTAGAGTATAACCATGACTTAAAAATGATGTTTTGACATTAGAAATGACGGGAAAGACTTAGGTAACCTCGGGTTCGGGTAAGGACCCGGTTAACGGTTCGGACCTACGGGTTCGGGTCGTCATAGTTCTCACTTAGTGTAGATTCCTTAGCAAGATCTTTTCTCCTTCTTCTTGATAGTGATCTTCCCTTTAGGAATCACCAATATACCTCGATGAATGACCTTGGAGGCAAGGCTTGTGGTAGCCTATAACGACCCGAACCCGTCGGTCCGAACCATTGACTGGGTCCTTACCCGAACCCGAGGTTACCTAAGTCAATCCCTTCATATATAGTGTCAATGTATCATTCTTAGGTCATAATTATGCTTTACAAAGGCTCAATGCAAATTCCCAAGGCTTAGGATGGATTATACTGGAAAAAGGAGCAAAGTAGACTAAACAACAATATTTCGGTCAACCGAAGTGGAGCTTCGGTCGGCCAAAGTGAATCCCCTCCTATACCGGTTGACCGAAACAGGCATTTCGGTTGGCTGGTTGTGATTTCAACAGTGAAGAAGTTACTTAAATAACCGGCCGGCCGAAACATGCATTTCGGCCGGCCGAAATGGCTCTGCAAACTGGGTTTCAGCTATTGGAAATGCTGAAAACGTAAAAATAAAGAGAGGCTTTGGATAGGGACTTTAAGAAATGTTCTAAACCTGTTCCAACCACACCCATAAACATGCTTGTATTGATAAAATAATACTCGTACATCATAATGAGATTTAATTACATCGTAGTACATCAAGATAATTTCAATTACATTGATTATAAATACATGGACTTTGAATTACAAACTTCTGAACTTCATTAATAACCATGGATGCAAATCATTCACCGTCTCGCCTCCGAATTTCCTGAAAAATGTTAATGATAATAATGTGAGCTCAACAGCTCAGTAAAAAAATCTTACACCACATTCCTAAAAATCCCGTGAGCCACAACCAAAGAAAAGAAGATCAAGAAAAGGCATGATGGGATTTTAAATCATCTTAACATATATGAATTTCACAATTTCATAAAAGAAAAACATTCCATCACACATGAAATGCAAATGCTCCCTTCTTCTTTCCATCCCAACCCCACTAAAAACCTTCATGACCATCACCTTGACTTACGACACAACCCTTCATCTCACTTCCGAACCATTTTTCCCCATCAACCTTCATCTTCTCAACTAACCCCCTTGTCAAGAATATGTATGTCATACAACCAATTATTAATATACAAATCATGATATGCATCATAATCATATTATTAAAACATCCAAATCATAAAGTCAATCATACGCATCATACTTTCACATTTCATCATGTAAAAATAGCATACTTAACATTATCAAGATTTTTACGTAACAAATGCAAAAAAACTCATTAAAACAATAAGATTCATAATTTAGACTTCCCCTACCTTAATGGATGCAAAAGCCCCAATTTCCAAGCCCAAAACCTTAGAATTCAAAAATCCTATAGGTGGACAAACAAGCAATTGCTCCTATCAATGCGTAAATCTCGCCGAACTCTCCGTTTTGCCACAAATGGCACTAAAAAATTTCAAATGGTTGGAGAGTAATTGAAGATTGAAATTTGCTTGCAAAGAAAAAAAAAAATGAACAAGAAAAGGGAGAGAGAGAAAGCTTACGAGAGAGAGAGAATTTTGAGGCCAAAATGGCCTTATGGCTATTAAAACAAATGAAAGTGGTGGGTCCTACCACCAAAATATCTTTTCCTTTTTCCTTTTAACTTTATGTAATGACCCTAAACTGAAACCATTTAAAAAAAAAAATTGGCATGACTTCTGCTAAAAATGGTCCTACAATAACAACCTGCTCAAATGAAAAAAATACAATGGCCTTTCAAGACCTATCCAACCTGCCCCAAGACACAATAAAAAAAAAAATTTATAATACATTCTCCAATACTACAACATCAACAACAAGTTAGGCCCATCATCGTTATCCCATTCAACTTAAACATTTACATAGTCTTAGTTTACAACAAAAATAATCAAGTAACTTAGTTATATCACAAGGCTATGATTTGCAAAAATGAATACTCTTTTACATAGTTTGAGACTTCATAAAAGATTAATTAATACACACAAAAGGTATCAAAATAGTTCTCTAGTCCTCTTCAAGCTTGAGAGGGATCGGCATCCATTACATCTTTTCCTGGCCCTGAAAAATGTTAAATAAAGGGATGAGCAAAAAGCCCAGTAGGTGGTGCCTAAGACGCGCCTCTTGTGACCATGTGAACCCAAATAATGAATTGGATAATAGGGAGCGGGGTTATGCTAAACCGGGGAAAATACAATGTAAATCTGCAAATTCTAAATAAATGAATGTCGTGCCATGAATTCAATGTTATGCATGTCACTCCCCATTTTCAGATTCACTTCAAAAACTTCACTTTCAAACCGTTAACGTAACATGTCCTTCGTTAACCCCTTGGCGACACGAGAGAAGGATTAGCCACTGTCCCTGACCCTTGGTAACCCCGCGGCGTCATTTGGGGCCCAGTTGGCTCAACCACGCTAGGGCGATTTCCCTTATTCCCTCTAGGATACATTAACGCCACGGACCCTCGGTACCCCCTTGGCGTCCGGGTTTTCACAAAAATCATTTTCTCAAAAAGGTATCCCAATTCCTCTTTTTATTCATTTTCAAAACATTTCTCGTCCTTCATGCCCTATGATTTGCACGTATGTCTCATGTATTCAATGCTAAGGTAATAAGAAAAATTTCCATAATACTTCCAAAATTAAGCAAGCTCTACAATAATTCTAAGAAAAATTTCATAAGCTTCCATGTATCATTTCTAGCAATTTTGTCAACACAATAACATAAAAAAATTAATAATGAAGCATGTTTTTAGTATACAAATCAATAATTACACATATAATCATGAACTCTATACCCACAAGAAAAATCATTCTAGAGGTAATTAATTTCAATTAAGCATGTTGCCATCAAATAGCAAAAATTGATTCACAAAGGAATAAGAAAATGCTAATTAGAGATCCCTACCTCTAAATAAGCCAAAAGCCCCAATTTTCACCTCAAACCCTACAATTAGAGATCCCCCAAATGATAGCCAAATGAAGATTGGCTCCGATCAACTCGTAGACCTCATTGTGGGCTTCAATTTGCTGCAAACGGCACTTAAAAATATTAAGAGATGAGGAATTAAGCAAAGGTTGAAATTTGTAAAAGAAAAAGAAAGAAAAACAAGCAGCTGGTGAGAGAGAAGACTGGCCGAGAGAGAGAATGAGGTATGCTGAAGTATTGGCTATAAAGCCATTATATGTGTTTTAATATCAAGTGGGTCCCACCATTTATAAAAAAAAAAAATCTTTTTCTTTAATTAACATTTTATATATATATATATATATATATATATATATATATATATATATATAATTGAAACATTACAGTTTATTTCCCCACCACAAACATATGTATACACTAACCACATAAAATACCACATAAACACATTAAATAAAAAATAAATGAAATGCAAATAGACCCCATACGTAACAATTCCGGTAGCGGGTCCCACATGGGACTGTTCTGTTCGAAAAACGAAAAAATGCCAAAATGGCAACCGATGCATTTCCAAGAGTTCTGAACTCAATGTAATGCTCCAACCAACTCTCGCACACACCCGGCACACCCCACAGTGTCCAGCATGCAAAACGAGAAAAGACAAAAATACCCTCGAAAAATCAGAAAACTCCAGAAAAAGAAAAATGGAAGAAAATCAGTAACATTACATAGCCTTCTTTAGAAGAGAAAACAAACCCTAAAAAACTAGAGAGAAAATATCTTCTTTTTTTTTTACCAAAATTCCTCCTAAAATATAGATGGACCCATGTATATATAGGCAAAATAAAGATAAGGAAATGAGACAATATATCCTTCTCAATCTCTAATTCACATATCTCAATTCTAATAGGATTCCAATATCAACTTGGGCTATGGGTGAGAATCATTTGGGTTTACTATTTTCTTGGCTACTATAAATTAATAATTGGCCTGTTCCATTAAACCATGGATTCAATTCAATTAATTCATAAATTAATTTATACTCCACTAAAAGAAATTAATTGCACTCCAATTAAATAGTAAACAACTTCTAAGTCAATGTTGCACTTTGACTCCTCTATGTACAATTATTTATCGGATTATAAAACCATCAATCCGACAACATAATTAATATAATTATTTTGCTACCTTTGATTATTTCCGGCTTGATAACAATAAAATATTTGTTTAACAAAAATAATAATTTACTAAATAAATATATATAGAAAACATTTTATCTAAAACATACGAAGACCTTTGAATTTAATTTGTAATCAACCATAATCAATACAAAATAAATACAAGTAGCATTGATGCAAATATTGAGAATATAACCCTCTAACTATTAATTACATAACTACCTAAAATGTCGGTATAAGGATCCCGAAGTATTCGTCGAATAAATCAAAATAATTATTAATTAATAAAAGAGTCTATACTTCTCTCATACTTGAGAGTCAAAAGTCATGACTGTGATAGAGAGTAATGGCTCTCACAATATATCTCAACCTATCGTGGACTCAGTTCAAGTTTTAGTTAATTAAATATCCATCCATAATTTTCGACTTTGAACTATTTATAATTACTAATTTATAACTGAGTATTAATTGTCATTACATATATAAATATAACTTGTAATCAAGTGGACACTATCAATTCCATAATGAATCGAAATATAATATATTGAATTCACTACTTGTATAAAGTATAAATATTTTAGATATATTATGAACATATGTCACTTTAATTCAAATAAGAATTCCCTAGGGTATATAAATCCCAACAATGACATCTTTACTTTTCATTTGTCCTCCTGGTTGTCTATACTCGTATAAACTCACTGACAAACAAATTAACATCTGTTCGACTGTTTCTTCATCATCTTTCTTATCTGTTGTAGATAAATTATACATCCTTGTCTTCATCATCATAGTTGAAAGGTAAGGGTACTGATTTAAACGCCCGGTATTTTCCGACATTATTCAAGTGTTCATTCTCCAACCTGTTCAGTTACACATAATCAAAATTGCATCAGTTAGAACCAGTGTTTGAAAACAAATAGTGAACTTATTAATCCAATTATTGGGATTGTGACAATTATTAGCACTAATTAACATATTTTATATTACCATATGGTTGTCTGATAGCATGAAAAAAAAAAAAAAAAACACAGAAGAGTATATATATATATATATATATCAAACCTGAAGAAATTCCAAATACCACGACGAATGATCTCCAAACTCGCAACAATTGCAACTAAGGCTTTCCCATGGAGTAAAGGCGTGTCACGAATGCCTAAAACTGTTTGCATCCATGCAAGTCTAAGTATCACATTCACTACCTGCAATTTGTTTCAGACAAAGGTTAACTTATAACAATGTTGTTGCTTTGAGAGACATAAAAACAGATTACTAGGAACACTTAACGGCTGATAACTTACAATGGCAACAAAGTATACGTATTTGTTTGGTACAAGGAGCTTATCTCTCAACCAAGGATTTCTCGAATTTCGTTGCAGAAGACCCCAATCTATGACAATGTCCCAGTATGTAGCAGCAATTGTAGCAACTGCTGAACTCACTGCCGCCATAATCTTCCAAAGCATTCCCCACTTCAGATCATCCCCTGTCCTCAAGACAACTGCAACAATTATTGACAAGTATTTGAGCCCATTAAGCACGTGCATACAACCTTTCTCTTCAAGCAAGCGTCGAACACACTGCAAATTCAGATCGCAATCACCTTATATTTCAACATTCTATAAGTCTAGCAGTGTCAATACTGTTTTTTTTTTTCAAGAAAGTTACAAAAAAAAAAAAAACAAAAAAATTTCCCCTAACAGAGTTCGGGAAGAGAGATGATAAACATACCTGAAGTAAGCGCATCCAATATGGAACAACTGCGACAATGATATAAAATATTTTATAAACATCATTTGCACGGCATATATTTTCTCCATTTTCTCTCTTCTTGAAGTCCCCCCAACCATAATAACAGATATAAAACTCCAAACTTCTGAAAGCCTGCACCTGAAATATAAACAGTGAAGTGTTAATTCTTTTAACAAAGGACATACAAATCCCGGAATATTAAGGCAGAAAAAGAAATTAAATTGTAGGCTAGGGTTCTGGTGCAACCACTGTTACACATTTGGGATAAGTTATCAAAGAAAACAGTTTTGAGCAACTAGTTTATGTATCAAGAATCCGAGAAAACGTATGACCTATTGAGCAGTGAAACATATTTGAACTAGGAACTTCCATGATAAATGAGAAGAGGAACAATTTCGAAGAGGGTGACAGGTTTCAATATATGTAACTATAGGCATAATGTCGAACCTGGCTTGTAAGCTGATCTGCCAAGAAGAAATCAGGGAGGACAACCTACAAAAGCAGAGAAAATAAGATGATTATCCAATTCTACTTTCACATACATGTATTCATAGACATTCAGAGTCATGCTACCTTATAAAGAGGAGCACAAAGACAATGAAGCACACAAGTGATAAGGAAGAAGCGACTTGAACGGTAAATGATGTTGAAAGGACAGAATGTTATAAGAAGCACAACCTGCAAATTAAATCTCATTAGTTTATACTTTATACTCTCACTAGACATGATGTTAATTGCCTCATATTTTCCTATAACAATGTATAATTAAAAACATCATATTGGAGAAATGTATAGCTTACAGTGACTAGTCCCAAAGGTACCAATTCTCTTGCAGCTCTGAAGCTTTTTGTTCTAGGGTCCATTTGCATGTCCAGGTTTGAGAGCACACCAGCCATTGTGAGTACTGCAAGGCCAAAACTGAGAAGGAAGATTTCTCGGTAACCCAAACCTCTCCCTTGCTTGAAACCAAATATAAAGGGATAATTGATCCGATAACACTTCCAAAAGTATATGTTCCCACCATACATGAGCATATGTAGAACAGTGAATCCAAACAAGCTGTAAAAAGTTGCAGCTAACTGATCACTTTGTCCGAAATCATTCTCTTTTTGGTTAACAAAACCAAGGAGAAAGGAAAATAAACTCAAAACTAACATCATACAAAAGAGTGAACAAACATTCCAGCCGCAGATGGCTGTGAAAACTGGAAGCATACCTATATAGTGGAAACATAGTTTCCATATACTGTCCACGCTCCGGGCTCTTAAGAACATCTTTTGCATGTATAACCATAGCAATTGCCACTAGAAGTGCTATTGAGCAGCCAGATAAGAAACCTGTAGGAGGAGAACAGTTCTAGAGTGCTTATATTGAATAATTGTTGAAAAGCATGAAGTATTTGTTTTATAAATACAAAACAATACAATTAAAATTTCCAAATTTCAGTAACAATTAAAACTAAAACATTTATTCATTTACAATGCTCTAAGAGATGAATAATATCCAACAAAGGGTAATCTCGAAAAGAAATCAAAAAACAACCGTAACTAAATTACAAGAAAAAACAATTATCCTCTACTGCAATTTCCAGCACAAGTCTTACCCAAGAAAAATGTTATCCTGTGTTTTTCTTTTTTAGCTTTAGGCCTTAAAATATTCATTCCCTTACTGCGATTTCCATTCGAGAAGTGCCTGATGAAGGTAGCCTCTACTCTTTCTATGAGTTTATTAAGCTGGGGAAACACAAGAATTACCAGAAAACTGTGCGTCAAGAAGAAAATTAAGCATATTGACGTGGAACATATCTCAAATATTAAGTACATATCAAACCTCTTCGGAGCTGCCAAGGTAAGATTTGTCTACCATTTCTAGGTAAGCCTTTGATGCATTTCTTGAAGTGATCTGCACTGATAAGGAATTGATGAAATTGGGAAGGAACAAAAAAAATAGAAACAAAATTTTAGTCGTGAAAAGGAAATTGCAGGACCTTATCATACTTCTTCATGATCTTAGAGAATGCCAATAGATTCAAGAAGCTGGTGCAGACAATAGCAACAGCATGTGATGCTCGAATTGGAGTAAAAAATAATAAATATTGCTAGGAGTTCGAAAACAGAAGAGTGAATAATTGTTACCAGAAACTTTTCAGAAGTCTAAGCCTTCCGTGGAATTCAATAAAAGCCTGTGTCATTTGTTCTTCAACTTTCCTCAACTCCACCTTGCTGAAGGACAAGTCGGATGTTGATCTCATGAGGACATGTTTCAAAGTCGATACAGGAGTTTCTGGTGCCAAGTTGATCTTTACATGATCCAAAACTTGTAATGAAACTGGCCTAAAGCCCTTAATATTCGTCTTTTCCTTATCGGCTGTCTCACGGTCAATGCTCTTTGGTTCAGTGGTAGGTGTTTTTTCGGCTTGCAAAGTTCCTTCACTGCTCATCTCAACTTCTTGAATTGCATCCATGGGTGCCTTTCCTTCACATTTAAAAGAGAGTGAATTTTTAAGAAGATTGAAATTATTTTCCTCCAAAAAATATTTTCAAAACTCTAAAAATATTTTGTGCTCAAACAAATGGAGCCTATATCACGGCAAGCCCTATGCAAATGTCCCAATTTTCATGGGGGCCTGTCACTTACTCCTCAACCACCTTCAACTACTCCAACAATCACTTTATTATCAAATCTACAATATTGATACACGTGTTCACATTTATCTCTGAATGAAGATTACACACACACACAATTTCAATTTCTTGCAAAAATCATCATGATTGTTTCAATTCCACACAAATAAAAATCCAAATACCTGGTTTTCTTCCATTGATGGGAGGAGTCTGAGGAGAAATTGATTCTGGGGATATTGAGGCACTGCCATGTGTTGCAATATGTATCTTTTGGGCACCCTTCAACCCCAAAACAGGTCTTTCAACCTTGACCCTCAGAGCAATCAAAGCATCCATTTGTTTGTCCAACTCCTCTGCCTCTTCCATCACTTCTTCCACTTTCTCCTTACAAAACTTGACCACTTTATTAAACTCATCATCAAGTCTTCTAAAGAAGACGAGCTCATACTCTCCTCCATCCTCTGATGACCTGAGGAACATGGTCTTGTACAAATTTCCTTCTGACCTCTCCTCTTGCATTAGTATCACTTCATCTTCATTGTCCTTCCTTGGAGACGCTCTGTATCGGCTCGTTAGTCCACTGAAGGCTCTGTAAAGCGACACCCTTCTTGCCAATGACCCTCTTGGTGTGGCTGCCACTGTTGTTGTTGCGTTTCGCTGTCGGAATTGTAAGACGTTTTTGAGGAGGATTTTGAGGGAGTTGTAGTCCATGTATGCTCCTTGCCATTCCTGCACCATCTGGGAAGTGAATTCCTTTCCAAACTTCATTTTCTTCAACTGTGTAAAATTGGAATCTAAATGAAAGATTTGGTTTGGTGCAAAACAAAAAAAAAAAAAAAAAAAATTTATGAAACTTGTTTGTGGTTCTTTTGTAGTGATTGAAACTCAATTATGTTTTGTAAGCTTTAGCATTTTGTAAGACCATCTGTGCTTTTTCCCTTTCATCTTTTTAGACCGCTAGTATCATTTATTAATTTCTTCGAACAGTTCAACTACCAAATACCATGTAGGGACATTAACTTTCCACTCACGAGTATAGGTATAGGTATATATATACGTATACAAATATATACATCCACTGAAGATAAAAACGAAATTATATGATTCACAATGATAGAAACTGTAATACCCCATAATTTCGGAACACGGGTTGATCAAGTTCGCGCACAAAATCAGGGAATATCAAACCAATTAAAGTATTTAAACAAGCACGGATTACAAAATGAAATAAAGAATAAAATAAAACGCTGAAGAAAACCAATTAATAGTAAATCCATTAATAACTTCCAAATGGTTACAATTCGGGAATCCTGTAACTCAAGGACCCCTTAACCAAAAGTTACTATTTAGAATGTCAACCAAATAAGTACTAATATCAACTGAAACAAAACTAATATCCTACTTTTAAGTAAATAGAAGGAATGGATAAGTCCTCCAGCTGCGGATCCTCAACCTTGAGACTTGACCTTCTACAACCTGAAAAATAAATCGCGGGTTAAACCCTACGAGCAAGTTCTCTCTACCAAGCCTCTGAAAACCAATAAACAGATCATCTTTACCAAAACCATCCCTAATTAAGCTTTAACGTTAATATACGACGCTACAAATATATATAAATACTTATATATATAGTGCAAGAATCCTACCAGTTAATAGGGCATTAAATTGTCAAAACCACTCACCGATAATTAATTATCAGACATACCTAGACCAAGCCCCCCCTTTTATAATTTTCTCATAAAGTAAACCCCACTCACCTTAACTCCATCCTAAACAGTAATTTAGTCATCTAAACATATAGCAATTTAAATATGCACCGGCAAATCAACCATGCCTTTTATAAATATATTTATTTATATATTAGCAATTCAACCATGCTTCCTTCCGTATATTTACTTTTGCAATTAATTAGCAATTCAACCATGCTTCCCATATATGAAATTTATTCATAACCAATAAGGCAGTATATCAAAGCCTTTGGCAACTCATCCATGCCTACAATTCAACCATGTACTAACTTTAAACTTATAGACTTCACATGCATATAATAAGCATGTCCTTAATTTAATAACCGTGTATCTATTACGATTTTAAATCAACCATACCATCCACGAATCAAGTCATACCAAACAAGATTTATAATATTTAATAATCTTAAATAATATATATACACATATATTTTATAATATATATATATGTGTGTATCATACATTCCATACCAATCGTTGACTATTTAAAATCATATCTACATATATATATATATATACATATATACACCTCCTTTCATTGCAAAAATATTTAATTAAGTGTATTTATACCCCTAAATACTACTAGGTATCTTAGTAACACTCTGAGGCTCTCCGAACATGAAGAACACACCCTTTAATGATTAATTTTAACCCTGACACGCTTAAGATAAATACTGGAAATTCACCGGAGTCTCAAGCAACTTTCCAGGACCTCACACGCATCCCCACGCGCCTCCACGCGCCACCACATACCCCTAGACTACTCCCACGCGCCTTCACGCGCTTCCCCTTACCGGCAGGCGCGTCCACGCGCCTGCACGCGCCCTCACGCGCCTGAGCCACTCTCGGCGCGTGTGTGGCTTGTTCCTATTGGCCAGCCTTCTGCGTTCTAGTGTATTTGCTTGCACTGGATCATTTTCCTGTTGACTGGACCACATCTATGGTCCAGATTTAATGCGCACACAAATTTTATACAACCGCAACACACTGAATCATCCTACACCCCTTATCTTCATCTAACGGCCCAACCTAGCGAGAGCAACCGTTTCTCATGTAATCATCCACATTGGATTATTCTCTTGTTATCAGGACCAAATGATGGTCCTGATTTGGGCGCACAAGAAAGACTGTGTGTTGCGCCGCACCAAATCCAACCCCTTTTTGTGCATGCGCCGATTTGTATGTTGCTAGTATATATAAATATATATATATATATATATATAACCAAAAATTATACATAATAGTGTATATATTTTACCAACAATTTTATCAAAGGGGAAAAAAAACTAAAACAAATATTACGACTCATATGTATAAAATATCCAGAAAATTTCAGAAGCACTCAAATACTATATGTAATATTTTAAGGCCAACATTAACATATATAATAATTTAACCACCATATAATATAACTAATCATGCTACCCATCATTAAATCAACCTTTAAAAATTTCAGAAATTAAAATTAGAAAATCCTAATAGCACATACATGTATATAAAAGATTAAAGCTATATATATGCCAACAATAAATGTGATCCCAATAATCTGATTACTAATTTATTTTGATTCCACAAAATAAAATAAAACTATAATTTTGATAATGAAGGTGATAGGCTTATGAGCCCTAAGAGGAGAAGTAGAAAAGAACTTGCCTTTTCTTTTCCAAATCCGGTCTCCTCTTACGTTCTTTGATCCGGCCTCCTCTTCGTTAGCCCTTCTTCTTCTCTCTTTAATTCTCTTATTTTTCTAACGTGGAAAAACTCCTAACCCTAAAGTCTTATGTGTCTATTTATACACATCCAAAAACCTACATCCTTTTCCCATTAGGATTATTATCATATAAAATAAATAACATTTATCTTTTAAATAATATATATACATACATATATTTTAATATAAATATATATATATATATATATATATATATATTACCTTCCATATATAACCATTAGTATAAATAGATTACATATACCTATATATATCAATATATAATTATATTGACATATATATCCCTCCTCATGATTTAATAATGAATTAATATACACATGTAATTATATAGGTATAATTATGCAAAGATAATTATTAAATATCCTCCCAACCACGGGCCTTTACCAATTAACCCAACAAGGCTTCCTTCAAGCCCAATACCACATCCGTTGGTCCAACTTCCTTTAATCCCAATCCAAATAACTTAAATACCTAAAATAATGAAATTAAATTTAATAGCTACCAATAATTAACAATAAAGTTACACCAACATAAAATCACGCAAATTAAATAAACACTTCACTAACTAGCATTCCACAAATCAAACACCATATAAATTTAACAAATAAAATTACAAAATATATAATTTAATTAAAACAATACAATTTACCTACGCACTTAATTAAATAAAACAAATCACAACTATCAAGCACCTAATTAAATAAAACAAATCACTTAAAAATAATAATAATAATATAATATAAATTAATTTAATTAATAAATCCTTTTTAAAATATCGGGGTATTACATTCTTCCCCCCTAATAAAAGGAATTTCGTCCTCGGAATTCACGAATCCATGAAATGAAATTTTGATTATTTGTCCCAAACTTTCATTTTCCCTTATTCCACTGTTTGCCATGTAAGATATTTAATATGTAAATATCTATAATAAAATGCTCACACTTGTGTAAATTACTTAAACACTTAGTGGTGTAATATACTAACAGTCAATGATTTGTATATATATGTATAAATATATATCACCATCATAAGCCAAAACCATCCAGATACTAATGAACATGATGCACTTATATCTACTAAGTCATTTCTACATCTACCTTGAAATAAAAAAAACATACCTCAATTCTTCTGAGGTACGCATGCATTGCAAGGTGTGGCATTGTACACCATACCCTGATGCAACTGCTGTATAGGCTGTCCCTGCGGTGGCGGTGGTGCTGGTAAGGCCGGAAATGTCTGAGCCTGCACACGTGGAATCTGTGGAGTAGGTAATGGTTGCCACTGTCCCTGTTGCCCATGCTGTTTCTGAGCCAACCCAGGACACCGTTTGGCTGAATGCCCATAATCTCCACACTTATAGCAATGACCCCTAAATATACTTGACTGCCCCTCCTGGTGATTACCCTGTAGCTGTCCCAGTCCAGTCTGAGGTGCTCCAGTCTGCTGAGTGGAAACTCCCTCTCTCTGAACTTCCGAATTACCCTTGTGCTTCTTCCAAGGCTGCTGGCCCTGGAATCTGCCCTTGTCATTCTGTCGGTTCCCATTATCATTCACTTTCGTAGCTGGCTGATTAGCAAAGTCTTTGCCACCCCGCTTCTCAGCCCTAGTCTGTCTGAAATCCTCATTCAGCTGATAAAGCTGCAAAGCTGCGTCCACCACTTGAGCATAAGTAGTGTAGGCTGGACTACCAGTAATAGCTCTCTTGATAGACCACATCAGTCCCTTGACAAAACTGTTGCGCTTCTTCTCCTCTGTATCCACCTCCTCCGGTGCAAAGAGAGATAAGCGTGTGAACTGCTGTTCATACTCCGCCACTGTCATGTTCCCTTGCTGCAGATTAAGAAACTCAGTCTTCATGGCTGCCCTAACTGCATAAGGGAAATACTTTTCTTCAAAGCGTGCACTGAACTCATCATAAGTCAATGCCATCCTCTCCTCTATGGTGGTAACTGACTCCCACCACTGCAGTGCATCCCCAACTAGCTTGAAGGTAGCAAGCATCTGCTTCTGAACCTCCGTGAACTGAACCAAGCGAAGATGTCGCTCAATGTCCTGTTTCCACTGGTGAGCTGCTCTCGCATCCGTGGAGCCCGTGAACTCAGGTGGACTCCCTTTTGTGAAAGAACTCCTGGCCTTCTCCCAAGTATCAGTCTGAACAACCGGTGCTGGTAACGGTGCCGGCTGTACCTGAGGCTGATTCCGAAGTACAGCTGCTACCCCAGCTTCTATAGCCCGAGCAATGAGGTCATTGATGTGAGGAGGATACTCTGGATCCCTGCCCTGAGCCGGAGCCTGAACTTCCTCTTGCTCCTCCTGAAGCTGACCCTCATCCTGAAACCCAAGTCGTTGCTGCTCTTCCTCCATTTGCTGACGTTGCAGGTGTTCTTGCTGCCTACGTGCAGCTCTCCTCTGTCGACGGTTCAGATTCTGTCCTCTTCCAGTGTTAACCATGCTGTTAACATAGAACGACAGACA